ATATTAATTACATCAAGACAAGCGTAAAATGCTATGTAAAAATTTCAGTGACATATTTCTCATCTTTAGCTCACTTTCTAGTGTAACTTTCTTCCAGTAACATTTTGTTATTTAGCCCACTGTTCTTACATTCTGCTGAGTTTTACAAAATGTTCAATTTAAATATTGAAACATATACAGTATTTAAATATTAAATCCTAAATATAGAAATTAAATGTAAATGTAGGCTAAAAGTTAAATCTTAAAGTTCACATTTTGCTGTCTTCATCCTGAGACAATAACAACTGTTTTCACTCTAATGCATCTGTCCATTATCTAAACCTGCTTCTTCCTTTCAGGGTCACTGGTGCGCACACCCAGCAGTCACAGTGAGGGGCGGGGTACACCTGGACAGGTCTCCAGTCCATCACAGGGACACACATAGAGACAAACAACCATTCACTCTCTCACTCACACCTAGGGACAATTTAGTGTTATCAGTTAACCTAACAGTCATGTTTTTGGTCTGTGGGAGGAAGCCGGAGTACCTGGAGAAAACCCACACATGCACAGAGAGAACATGAAAACTCTATACCAGAAGGCAACCTTCTTGCTGAGAGCCATCAGCTCTACCAACTGAGCCACCGTGTCCCCACTCTAATGCTTAAAATTTTAAAACAACTGAGCAGATCGGACTGTCAAACTTTAAGGTCCAATGGTCACTTTGAAGTTTCTCTGAAAAACACAAACTGTAAATGGACTGTACTTATATACCATCTTTCTGTCCAACCAGGATACTCAAAAGGTCTTTAAACTACAGTCTGTGCCCTTATTTACCCGTTCACACACACATTCATTCATTCAGCACTTTACTAAATCTCTACAAAGTTAATACAGGTAAATAATGTAAAGAGCTTAATCAGTACTTTAAAAAAATCACACTCATGGGACACATATCAGAGGCAGTGGGGGTTCAGTGTCTTGCCCAGGGGCATATCAACATGTGTCAGAACAGTGGAGAATTGAACCACCAACTCTTGAATTAGAGGAAGAACTACACTCAGCCACAGGCACCCCAGAAGGCCCACGAAGGAGCAGGTTGTCCCCAAAGTCAGTGTCAGACCTGAATGGGCAGGTTGGACTTTCAAACTGATCACAGAGCCAGGAAGGTGTTTAAAGAAGAAATGCAGTTGCTAGTGGACAAAAGCAGATGGATCCCATCATCCAGACAAATGAATTGAAGACAACAAACATCAACTGGGCCAGTCAGTGAACAGAAGGAGGACTTGTATTGATTTTGAGTTGATTTTCTGTGCTGTTTTAGTCTGTCTGCACTTGTAGTTCAGCAAGAGCAGCAGAGGAAGTGAATAAAGCCAGGCTTCCAGGCTGTGAAAGTTTGATCAGCCTTGTTAATTTTCCTGATTTACCTTTATAAATCATTGATTGTTTGGATAAAAATATCAGTTAAATATATCAT